GGGCCTTGTCTTGTGACGCAGTTAGGTGCTTTTCGTAATGTGTGTCCTATCAATTTCCACCACTTCTTCCTCATTTCCTCCTCCATTGGAATCTGGTTCGTTTTCTCCCACAGTAAGTTGTTGCTGATGATGTCTGGCCAACGAATCTGAAGTATTTTGTGTAGACAACTGTTCATAAACACTTGTATCTTCTAGATAATGACTTTGGTAGTTCTCGAAGTTTCCACTCCATACAGTTTGAAATGTCTAGATATTTGTATTGAAAATCGTGATTTTGGTTTTGGTTGAAAGCTGTTTGGAGTTCCAGATATTTTTCAACTGTAGAAATGCAGCCCTTGCTTTGCCGATCCGCGCCCTCACATCTGCATCCGATCCACCTTTCTCGTCGATGATGCTGCCCAGATATGTAAAGGTGTTAATGTCCTCCAAGGCATCTCCATCAAGAGTGATTTGGTTGGTGCATGTTGTGTTGCATCGGAGAATTTCGCTTCTTCCTTTATGTATGTTGAGACCTGATGCTGCAGAGGCTGCTGCTACACTGGTCGTCTTCTCTTGCATTTGGTGTGGAGGGTGAGATAGAAGAGCCATACCATCTGCGAAGTCCAGATAGTCCAGCTGCGTCCTAACTGTCCAGTTGATACCGTGCTTCCTTCCAGATGTCGACGTCTTCATAATCCAGTCGATCACCAGGAGAAAGAGAAAGGGTGACAGTAAGCAACCTTGCCTGACACCGGTCTTCACCTCGAAAGAGTCTGTCAGCTGACCTCCGTGCACGATTTTGCAGTTGAATCCATCATAAGAATTCCGTATGATGTTGACTATTTTCTCAGGCACACCGTAGTGTCGAAGAAGCCTTCACAGTGTTTTCCTATCCACGCTATCGAATGCTTTCTCGTTGATGTAGAGTGGTGAGTTCCATTCATTTGATTGTTCAACAATGATCCGTAATGTAGCAATTTGGTCGGTACACAATCGATCCTTACGAAATCCAGCCTGTTGTTGGGCGTCTACGAAGTAGTTCATTCTGTTTAACAATACCCTGTTGAAGACTTTGCCTGGTATTGAAAGAAGAGTGATGCCTCTATAGTTCTCACACTTGCTGAGATTGCCTTTCTTTGGTATTTTGATCAGGTATCCTTCTTTCCAATCTGATGGTACTTGTTCCAATCGTAATAAGTATCAGAATTACTAGACACTTCATTTTAGACATTAATACCGTTAGTCGAGGCCGGCTCAGGTTAGGCGTTGGCGCTCAAGACCGAAGGTTTTGGGTTCGAGAATCTTGCGAGTGGCAAGAGTCGCGGATACGCACATCCACTGGCACGGTTCATATCAGGATGAGACAGCCATCTTCCAGGTTGTTGCTCTAATGGTGGCCGAACATCAATCGATTTATAATTTTGTTTTGTGTCAAGGGATATTTTCTTCTAATAAATAGTATATCTAAGCGCCCACATGTTATTTGATACCACAGAGCAGAATTTGAACAGTTATTATCTGAGGCTTCACTACACTTAAATGAGTTTATTTCGATATCTGTGCGGATGCGTTATGGCAACGAAGTTCTACGTTTTAACTGGCTGACTGAACATTTCGATTTCCGACTAAACCTAGACTGACTCCATGTTTCGATGCGCGTAACCTTTAAATCGGTCTTTTTAAATGATTCACTTTGCTTAGATTTAAACTTATGGTTTGAATTACTTTGAATATGCTTTTGACCGCACTGTAAGTAGTTAAATGGCTTGAAATTCCTTCCCCTACAGCTTGGAAGCAGTATTTCACCAGACTATAGATTAGTATCATCATACCTTTTCGTCCAGTGTCGTAACTTGATCGATCGGAAGTAAGTTTAAGCACGATTAGTGCTCGATAATTACTGTAAAAATACCGTTCTATAGGTTTTCGATCATAGGTGTCTTCGAGGCATTGCTCATGTACCATGGGACAACCGAGTAAGCAATGATGTTGTTAGGAAACGAGTCCTACGTAAGAATCGCAGGTAGTAGTGAAACTCCATCAGTTGAGGTGGCTGGGACGTGCTCCGTATGCTCAACGACTGACTGCCTCGACGAGCTGTGTTTAGCGATGTACGAATAGGTCGGAAGAAAGCTGGGGGCTGAGCCATGTTGGTAGATGTGGGTTACCTGGTTTTAGTCCGCGAGACGAAAATCTCTGATGGTTAGAGACCCTAAACGACATGGCTTAGAATCGTTTGCATTGACACTGGTGCATCCATTCATTGTGCTCCCTCAAATTCTAACCTGAATTCTTCACCACTCCTATCTTTCTATTTCTAAATTTATTCCACTGAATTATACTTCTATAATATCTTCGAACCCTAATCTCTCCGTTTACTGCTAATACTCCTACTATCTCTACGACTGTGATTTGAGCTGACAGTTGAGTCTGTGCTGATGCGGTGTGGCAACCCAAACTTACGTACTCATGTATGAAGTTATACGTTGAAAATGACATCGTTCTATAGGTTGCTAGCGATATGAATTCGTCACTAATAACTCCATTGGTTCTAAAAATTCCAAACCCTTGAACGAACAACAGTTCACTGAAGCATGTGGATAGACTAATTAGTAAAAATTTCAACGTCTACCTTACATGGTTCCTGACAAGAACCTTCTTGTCGTTCAGGGCCATAACAGACAAAATAATTTGTAATTTTAGGTAGGTGTAAATTTGATGTTTTCTGGTTAGCACCGGAAAGGGGGAAGCCCAGGACAGAATAGTTTGGAGAATACTGATCGGCGGTTTATGTTTCATTAGGGGTAACAGGTGTGAGTAAATTAGATTTGATGATATTTGGCGGCTGGTTGTTTTTCCACCTGCGGGGGCTGTCACTATTAGCTTTTTGAATATATACACCCACACTGTAGATCTACTTGGATTCTCAAACAGGTTATAAATTTTCGAAAGGATAACGTGTCGATTACTATCATACCGTATACCTGGATGTAAGCTTCGGTTACTTTCTTCTTCAAGGCATTTTATGTAACTGTGCTAAAGATTCCAACATTGAGATTGGTGTTTGAGAACGAAAACTGTCCGTACGACTTTCGATGTCACTATCGTTGGACGCTTATTCGGCAGTTTCATCAAGGCGAAAAGAAACTACCGATAAGCGACATATTTCCGTGATCTTAGGGTACTTACAAACAATTTCTACGCCCAAGGGTGCACAGCTCTCACGAAAAGCTTGCATACAGCCACTATCAAAGAAGCCTAACTAGCTTCTCGTGGCTGGGGTATTTCGTACCGACTATAAGACGGAACGCAGTAGCCAGCACTTCCACCGTGTTGGTAAATATACACAAGGGGAGTCGAAAAACGATTTCTAAGACAACGGTGCAGATGACCTCCGAGACGTGGTTACGGATGGTTGATCACGCCTTCGTTGTGATTCTGGCTGTAAAATGTCGAATCTACAATATACCAGTCAGAGCATTATGGTCTGTGATTGTGGAACTTGGCCATCGAATAGATGTCAGACGGCTATGCTCGGAAAGCAGTCTCGGAGAGATTACCGCCGTTTGGAGGCGGCACCATACTACTGATGTGAGGTTTCATCAACGTGAGTTAAGACATAACAACGATAGTGGCTTGGAAGAGTTCCACAACTAGCATTATTTGCCAACGTTAACTGTCCGGAGAGTTAGTCAATGTATGACATAATACCACGATATTAAATGAAGTTACAGACGGCGAAACTCAGTGGTTTGAGACACTATCACACTGGTTTGGAATAGAAGACGGTGTCGGGCTTGTTGTGGAGGAAATTTATGGATCAGGGGCATGAGTGTGGTGAGCTATCGTTCTCAGAGCTAGATGTTTTGGTTGTGGAGCCTTCATCGTTTTTCTTTTGAACATCATCAGTACAATCTTCAGGCAGAAATTAAGTATTCAAATGTCTCCACGTTCAACCCGTAGCACTCAGCAATCAACAGACACATTGATCCCGTTTAGCAACCAGCCATAAAAATCATAGGTAAACATGGGGTCAAGAAACAGATCAAAGGCGGAATACAAACAAAATAAAGGTGCAGAGAACAACAGGTTTAAGGACAATAACAACCAATCAAGACCGAGGTTAACAGAATAGGCTGCAGGTCGAACGTGGAGAAATTCAAATACTTTATACGCCATACACACATACATATACACAGTGATTAATATTTTTCAATATTAAATTGTGAATAACACACTTAAGCAAAATCATTCGGTTAACGACTTCGTGTGAAATTCTGTTTTGAGAAGTTTTTATATATATGTAACGAGAATCACACGGAAAAAACAGTAACAAACAAACAGTATTTGACAGAATTTAATTATACACGAACAATCATTGTGTGTGTGTGTGAGTGAGTAGGGAGAACGATCAGGCCATTTGTACTATTTTAGTAATTGAGTAGTATTGTGTAGGGAAAAAACACTGATTATCTCCGATAAGAGATTGATTGATTATCATGCTCGAGATGGAAACTTTTCTTAGCTCATAGTTTTTTTTTTTTAAAATGAAAAGTGAACAAACATGAAGAAAAACATGATAAATTTCATTTTTTTATCCACAGGATTTTAATTATTATTATTAGTAGTAGTATTCTTATCATCTTCATCTATAAGATGAATTTCACAAATAAAAAGCTTGAAAATTGTTTTTCAGATGGAATAATATAATATAATGTAATATATAATAGGGATGCAAAAATACAGTGATTCATGAAAAATTCTACAGAGGTTCGAAAAAAGAGGAGAAGAAGAAGAAAACACGTTAAACGGCATTTTCAACAACAACATTGTCTTCTCGCATTGAATCATCAAGTGGAGGTGGTGATTGTGCTTGAGGCGGTTCTGGAGAGTCGTCGTCTTGCTGTTGCTGATGATGATGATAGTTGTTGTTGTTGTTGGTGCTGTAATCATTCTGTGTATCGTCTTTATCAGTGGCATAAAGACTGTCATTATGCTGAGGAATATCACCACCACCGTGTTTCGATGGACTATTCTGGCCAGACTCCAACTCCATCTGATGATAATCGTCTTGATTGTGAGAAACAACCGTTGTGTTAACTATGGGACCTTGCATCTCTTGAAATTGTGCCATATATTGTTGTTGTTGATATTGTTGTTGTAATTGTCGTTTCGCTTTTAATTGTGCAACAAATTGATCTAATTCAGCAAGATTTTCATCGGATTCACTACGTCGGAAACTTGTGACTAGTGGAGCAAGTGGAGGAGTTTTAATACGAGCACGAGATATTACTCTAAAAATGCGAAAAAAAACAAAGAAATGATAACGATGCAAGATTTTATGAACAGTTGACTTAGTTAATGCAGAAATCACATTTCATAATTGTGTAGTTGACAAAAACAAATGCTTCAGAGTGAACATTTCAAATTACCTTCCACGAGCACCAGGTCGAATTGGTGATTGTGACGGTGATCGAGGCGATGATCGAGGACTGCGTGAATATGAACGAGATCGACTTTTAGAAACATGTGATCGTGATCTAGAACGTGAACGTGAAGAACGAGGTGAACGTTCCGCTGACCCAGATGTTCCATAACGTTTTCGGCGACGTTCAAAGTTACTTGCACTGCCTGATCTAGCTGATGGACCATCACGTCTACGATCATCATAACTGTGTATGCAATAAATCATACAAAGTATAAATGAAAAAATGTTAATAAAATAAAAGTAAGATAGTGGAAATTGAAGTAAATAACCGAACTTTGAGTGATGTTTTTTATAGACTCGGTAGTATACATCTCGAATGACACATTCGATCGTTATTCTCTTTGTTTACTGCTAATACCTTCTACTACCTCTACTACTATGAGATTTGAATTGACAATTCCATTTCTGTGTGCTCATATGGTATGGCAACTTGAACTGATGTACGTACGTACTAACTACTACGCTTTAATTGACTGAGACTGGGGAAATGGCAGCGCTATACTAACTTTGTGAACAAAATATTTTGAGTAGACGTTGAGCGGTTAAGTGCATGCTTAACTTAACGTAAGCAAGGGATATTATATAATATGCTGTGCTTGCATACTTTCAATCTACTTTCTGTCTAAAATAGTTTTTATATGCACATTCGGCAAAAAACAGAACAAAACCTACAAATTTGTATGAAGTAAAATAATAAGACAGTTAAGTTTACCGGTGATTATGCCAGTTGTTTCGTCGCAAACGATAATCATCCCATTGATTACGCCATCGAGGACCTCCACGAGGTCGATTTCTTCCGTAATATCCACCACTACCTCGACTACCATGATAATCAGGACGCTGAAAGGAGCCGCCACCTGATCGACGATCAGCATTTGATGGACCATTTCCACGGAAATGTCCTCGATCACCTTTAGGAGATTCAGACGGAGGAGCATCATCTCCGACTGCAAGAGAACCTTCACGATTCTTATCCGGAATAACAGGTGGACCGTTAGTAATCTCAGTAGTTCCAGGGTTGTTTCCTTCTTCCAACTGATGACGTCGTTCTATAGCACGTAAACGAGCTTGAACACGTTCTTGAAGACTTTTCGAAGTCATAGGAAGATCATTTTCATTCTCATACACAGTAAGAGAACCATGTTCTCCTTCACGTGCATTTCGCGGTGGTGTGAATACCTGAAAATTAAAATTTAATAAAAAAAAAAGCACAGCTTGTGTACACATTTAAAGTACAGATCACTTGATAATTATATCAGTTCAAAAAAATATTTACGGTTAAGAGTAGTAAATAGTAAATAAACAATATATAAGAAATGTGGATTGTTATAGATCAGCTGACAATGAAAAGTAAATGGTTATCAACAGACATCGTAGAAGAAACATGAAGACACTTGCACGATCCTCTGATTACAAGGGCTAGACAACTGATCCAGAAAATTGGTAATCAAGATCTTGTTTGGAGGCCAAAACATTTGATTCGAATATAGTCAGGTACTATGGTATCTCTGGAGTCCTTAGGTTATTATTATTAGAGAAATGAGAGACAATGTGCATCTCCAACGGAAAAGAACCATAGACCTCAATAACTCTAACTTACTCGTCGTGTGCTTCTGTATTCTGAATCACCATCTGCTCGACTTCGTTTTGAATTATCTGGACCTATGAGTTAAAATTTAATCAAAACAAAATACTCAATGAAAACCTGGCGGGGAAAAAATTAGTATACATCAAATACTGTTTGTAACCTAGTTACTTGGAATTCAGATCTGTACACATTAGACAATGAGGCATTTCTGATCGTCGAAAGTTTGTGCTATGAGCAGTTACCAACACATATTGGGAAGCATTAAAATGTTCAGATACATGACACGGATCAAAACCGTTTGCAATGACACAGGTGCACATTCATTCTTCGTGTTCACTGAAATCATCATAATCTTTTGAATTCCTCATCATCTCTATCTTTCTCTGTTACTAAGATTCGAACCCTAATCTCTTTGATTTCTGCTAATACCTTTACTAACATGGAATTTGAAGTGACATTTAGATCTCAATGTGCAAATGTGGTACGGCAACTTGAACTGATTGATGTATGTGCATACGTACTGTGGTGTGTGCTACTTATACGAACGATATAAGTAGTATAAGAAGGGACGTGAAAGAAGTAGTCTCACGGTCAGAAGAGGAAAACGGAAAGCAAATGGAGCAAAAGCAAGAAGTAAATGGAGTACCAACAGAGGAAGGAAAGGAAGCAACAGCAGGAATGGAAGAAGGATGGAGCGTTGGAAGTCACGACTCAAAGATGGTGTGCAAATAGAGTGGTGTTCAATGTAATGTTTTCGTTTTTAATTGACTGAGAGTGTAAATTTGCATAATACAATCTTCCGCGCCTGCCTCAGTCTTCTCAGTACAAAGTTCTACGTTGCTACTGAGTGATTTGATTGTCCAAATACATAAGTTGTATCTGTGTACTTACTAATGAGATGATGAACTATGTAGTCTGATTTCAGCGATAACAAAACATGAACACAAAATGAATATTTAAATCATAAACCCAAAATAACTTATTACGCAATAAATAAACTCCGCCAGTAGAACCTTAGGGGCTACTGCCGGTCCCAAGCCCGGATAAAAGAGGAGGGTTGGACATGGGGGTTGGCGGCCCCATTCCGTTGAAATCTAACTTGCCAAAAAAACGCTAACCAGAAAAAATAATTCAAACCATTTTAACTCTGCCCTGGGAGTTGGAAGAAGAATTATGACGTCTCGTGATGAAAGCCGAGTTCCCTCGGAAGTCACGGGGCCGATGCCTCTTCTGACAACCAGAGCAACCATTCTTTTAGGTACATGGAACGTTCGTACATTGTGGGAGACTGGAAGACTATTTCAAGTTGCGGCACAAATGAAAAGATACAACCTCGAGGTGCTCGGGATCAGTGAAACACATTGGACACAGGTAGGACAACTGAGACTTGCTTCAGGGGAACTGCTGTTATACTCTGGTCATGAAGAGGAAAACGCTTCACATACACAAGGAGTTGCACTGATGCTGTCCAAACATGCACAAAAGGCACTGATAGGATGGGAATCTCATGGACCCAGGATCATTAAAGCATCCTTCAAAACAAAGAAACAGGACATTACAATGAACGTCATCCAATATTATGCACCTACCAATGACTACAATGACGACGTTAAAGATCAATTCTACGAAAGGCTGCAGTCAATCGTCGACAAATGTTCACCAAAGGATTTGACGATTCTTATGGGAGACCTGAATGCCAAGGTTGGAATGGACAACACTGGATATGAAGACATCATGGGACGACATGGACTGGGAGAAAGGAACGAAAACGGTGAGAGATTTGCAAACCTATGTGCCTTCAACAAACTGGTCATCGGTGGCACAATATTCCCGCATAAACGCATACACAAAGCCACATGGATTTCACCGGATCACACTACGCAGAACCAAATCGTTCAGAAGGACCATGAAAGACGTGAGAACCAAGAGAGGAGCTGACATAGCCTCAGATCACCACTTGCTGATCGCCAAAATGAGATTGAAGCTAAAGAAGCACTGGACAACGGGGCAGACAACATCACAGAAGTTTAATACGGCCTTTCTTCGGGATACCGTAACACCCAACGAATTCAAGATAGCCCTCACCAATAGGTTCCAGGCCTTTCAGGATCTACTCAATGGAGAGGAAGCAACATTGGAGAACAATTGGAAAGGGATTAAGGAGGCAATCACTTCAACATGTCAGGAGGTCCTTGGTCGCAAGAAGCACCATCACAAGGAATGGATCTCTGTTGGTACTCTTGAAAAAATTGAAGCAAGGAGGAACAAGAAGGCAGCAGTGAATGTCAGCCGAACAAGAGCAGAGAAAGTTAAGGCGCAAGCCGAGTATACAGAAGCAAACAGGGAAGTGAAGAAGAGCATCAGAGCTGACAAACGAAAATATGTGGAAGATCTAGCAATGACGGCGGAAAAGGCTACAAGAGAAGGAAACATGACACAATGGTACGAAACAACAAAGAAGCTCGCCGGGAACTATCATAAACCAGAACGACCAGTGAAAAGCAAGGAAGGGAAAATAATCAGCAACACTGACGAACAGCGAAATAGGTGGGTAGAGCACTTTAAGGAACTTTTGAACCGACCAGCTCCACTGAACCCACCCAACATCGAAGCAGCATCCACGGACCTCCCAATTAATATTGGCGCACCCACGATTGAGGAGATCAGTTTGGCCATCAGACAAATCAAGAGCGGCAAAGCAGCAGGACCAGACAACATTCCAGCAGAGGCAATGAAAGCAGATGTGGAAGCAACTGCGAAAATATTTCACATTCTCTTCAAGAAGATTTGGGATGAGGAACAAGTACCATCAGATTGGAAAGAAGGATACCTCATCAAAATACCAAAGAAAGGCAATCTCAGCAAGTGTGAGAACTACAGAGGCATCACTCTTCTTTCAATACCAGGCAAAGTCTTCAACAGGGTATTGTTAAACAGAATGAAGGACTTCGTAGACGCCCAACTTCGAGATCAACAGGCCGGATTTCGTAAGGATCGATCATGTACTGACCAAATTGCTACATTACGGATCATTGTGGAACAATCAATTGAATGGAACTCACCACTCTACATCAACTTCATTGACTACGAGAAGGCATTTGACAGCGTGGATAGGAAAACACTGTGGAGGCTTCTTCGATATTACGGTGTGCCTGAGAAGACAGTAAACATCATACGGAATTCTTATGATGGATTCAACTGCGAAATCGTGCACGGAGGTCAGCTGACAGACTCTTTTGAGGTGAAGACCGGTGTGAGGCAAGGTTGCTTACTCTCACCCTTTCTCTTTCTCCTGGTCATCGACTGGATTATGAAGACGTCAACATCTGGAGGGAAGCACGGTATCAACTGGACAGTTAGGACGCAGATGGACGATCTGGACTTCGCAGATGACTTGGCTCTTCTATCGCACACTCAACAACAAATGCAAGAGAAGACGACCAGTGTAGCAGCAGTAGGTCTCAACATACATAAAGGAAAAAGCAAAATTCTCCGATGCAACACAACATGCACCAACCGAATCACTCTTGATGGAGATGCCTTGGAGGACGTTAACACCTTCACATATCTTGGCAGCATCATCGACGAGAAAGGTGGATCGGATGCAGATGTGAGGGCGCGGATTGGCAAAGCGAGGGCTGCATTTCTACAGTTGAAAAATATCTGGAACTCCAAACAACTTTCAAACAAAACCAAAATCAGGATTTTCAATACAAATGTCAAGACAGTTCTACTGTATGGAGCGGAAACATTGAGAACTACCAAAGCCATCATCCACAAGATACAAGTGTTTATTAACAGTTGTCTACGCAAAATACTTCGTATTCGTTGGCCAGACACCATCAGCAACAACGAACTGTGGGAGAGAACAAGTCAGATTCCAAAGGAGAGGGAAATCAGGAAGAAGCGGTGGAGGTGGATAGGACATACACTACGAAAAGCACCCAACTGCGTCACTAGACAAGCCCTCACATGGAACCCTCAAGGCAAAAGGAAAAGAGGAAGGCCAAGGAACACACTACGCCGAGAAATAGAGAAAGATATGAGAGGAATGAACAAACATTGGAAAGAACTGGAGAGGGAAGCCCAGGACAGAGTTGGTTGGAGAAAACTGGTGGGCGGCCTATGCTCCATTGGGGGTAACAGGCAAAAGTAAGTAAGTAAGTAACGGTTCGGAGGGCTTACGTCGAATCGCCATTCAGGAAGACTGGAGATTGTGGGTAAACGAAGTGTGGCTGAAGGCCAGTCGAACTGATCGCTTAAGTGTTCTGCTCATTGATCCAGTCTCCTGGATTGAGAATAAATAATAGTCCCATCCTTTTCCGAGATAGTCTCACTTACACTACGATTCCTAATACCAGTTTCCTTGATAAGTCGGAAAAGTCGTCTACTGTTGCCTATCGCCGCTGCCTTTTCCACCTCTCCCGCTTTCGCCGCCCACCATTGTTCACGGTCGTTTCGTAGGCTTTTCATCAGCCTGCGCGTAAGCTGACTTCGCTCTTCATCATGTTCAGAGCCAGCTGAGATGAGTTTACGAGCGTCTATAAGTTCGGTGGATGCTACTGAGATCCTCGGCTTCTTCCTGGTCATATGGTTTACCTTACTAGCAGGTATCACTGCTGTTTTCACAGCTTCTTTGATATCATTCCAAGCTGCCCGATGGTGGGCATCATTTACTACATGGTCGCCTGTCTTTCTATTTGTTCCTGAAATACATTCTTAGTTATTCTATCATGAAGTAGAACCCTAAGAGGCTTCTTTACGGTGTCTTTCCTATGTCCAGTAAGCCTCAAACAAATACGCGCTCGCACTAGGGCATGATCTGAATCTAAACATGTGCTCCAGAACGAGCGACCGTCTTCTATCGAACCTCTCCATCGGTGGCTGATGGCGATGTGATTCTAGTTGGGTCCAGCGTTGAGACGACTTTGGGGTCACCAGGTCAAAAGATGTTTTTTGCTTATACCTATCATAGGATAATTTGGGTGCGAAATGAAATTCCCTCATAAACACAAACATTCAAAATCTAGATGACCTTAGGAAACTGATATAGTTTATCGAAACCTATTAAAGTT